TACCGGCGTATGAGTGATATTTTTCATACGCTGGCATACGCTAGTACGATACGCAAAAGTGTGACAGGGCCTTAAGATGACAAATTCAAGTCATCCGTACCTACCAGGTTAAAAAACTGTTCGTTTTTGGTTAAAACATCGCAGACGCGATATCAAACCGGACCCTCTGACAGGAATCAAACATGCGGCCCCGCATGCATTCGCGATTCCTGCCTTTAGTTGCATTTTCCGCAACAGCTCTTGGTTAGGTCATATAAACGTACAACATTTACACACGATTTCCATTTAACTAGAAAATACATGCATGCAGAAACCCTCGCCTTGCTGACAAACCCATTGTATTTTCCGAACATGAAGTATCTAAAGTAGTTGTCATGATAACACGATAATCTTTTAAGAATATTCTTACAGATGAAAATCGCCTAAAAATATCACTTTTAATTACAAAATTATCAATTTTCCAACATATATATGTTAGGTATGTGATACGTCATACAAGCTTCAATTTAAGGTAAAATTCAACCACAATCAATTCACAAAACGTTTTAAAGTGTTCTTTATAAAACCATGGATAATAAAATAAATTTATTTTATTATCCATGATAAAACTAAACTGCCTTAACTATTAAATGGCTTTATCGATAAACTTTGAGTTTGCAATAAAATTATTTCAAATTCTCGCTTGCAAATAACTTTGCTTTATAAAAAAGGGAATCAATATTAAAGATACACTGAAATTATATGCTGTCTTGTTTAGTTCTTTCATATACGAAAGGCCGTCGGGTTTTAAATCCATTTAAAATCAATATTTAAAACAAACGTACCTTCTTCAACGTCGGCTCCCTTCTTTTAGCCGATTCTTTCGCCCTTTCTTTCTTGAAATTTACAAAATCTTGCAGAAATACGATTAAAAATGAAATATATTTGCAAGAAATTTATCAATCATCAAATCAAGAAATGTTTGCTATTTCGCTGTCGTCATGCAGTCGTTATAATGCACAAACTTTAAATTGGAGCAATCAGTGTCCGTTATTCATGACAGTCCGCCATATTTTTGAGATCAGTGAGGATGAGCACCCATGGTTGGTGACCGCCGCCCGCGCTCATTGATGAACTTTACACTTGGCTAAGGCTTCCCTTTCCCCTGGTGTAAATAGCCTGGGGAATTAGTACCCTCGCTCGCACGGCGCTTCGCGCCGTCGGCTCGGGGAAAAACGCTTCTGCAATTCGTTCTATCGAGTGGGATGTCAAACTCTTGTGTTGTTTTTTATCTACAGCTCTTCTTTTTACACTTTTTTCTTTGAATTAAATAGACATTCGGGATTTGTTCCTGCGTCATGACGAATACAAGTAAACCAGGTACAGCAAGACAAGGATACTGTGATCGTGATTGTAAAAATCTGGCTATCTTTTTGGTCTCCATTGGTCTGGGATTGTGCGTGTGCTTCTCATGCAGTGTTCCATTAAAAACTGTTGTTTTAAGGTACAAGCAAGATATAGAGATTAATGAAATTCGGCAGTCAATTCAATAGAGATATACAGTACAGTGTGTTATAAAAAAACTGAACCCTTTCAATTCAAATTCAAATCAGCTATAAAGTATTGTAGTAATTTGACAGCACTAATTGCTTTAAATTAATGGTTGGATAAGAACACTAGGTCTTGTACTCATGAGACAAAACTCAAAGAAATAAAAATTAGAAAATTTAAAAGAAATACAGTATTCCTTGTGTTCTTACCCAACAATTAATTCAAGGCAATTAGAGCTGTCAAATTACTACAATACGTTATGGCTAATTTGAATTTGAAAGGCTTCAGTTTTTTTATACACCCTGTATAGATATAGCTAGAGCGCAGGCGGTGTGCGCACTACGCTCCGCGCAATTATGGGTAAAAACACAAAATTTCTCATTTCCATATGATACGCCGAATATAGAACAGCTCCATAGCGAAAGAAGCGATGGGTATTAAAACTTTATTACCCTTCTTGCGGGAGGGCACACGAAAAGCAAACCTTGAAGAGTTTAAAGGACAAACTGCTGCAGTTGATGCTTCGTGTTTGTTGCATAGAGCGCTATCAATAAGCATGAGTCGAAATGGCGACGAAAGCAGGTATATATTTCAGTATACAATGAGTTATTTGTTTATTGTTTATATTGATCTGTTCAGAAAATTATAACATTATTTTGAAAAGAAAAAACGTTCAATTTTAGATTACTTGATCTTCTTAATTCATACGTCGATCTTCTTGAAAGAAACGAAATCAAACCATATGTAGTATTTAGTAGTATAGGGAATGAGGGTTCTAGACCACTTTTTCGGCCCGCGATCTCACCCAACTTCCGGTCAGCGGTTTCCATATTTTTCCCTCAAAAACGCGGGCTCATATTTTTCTAGACCATTTTTCTATTATTTTTGGTATTATTTTTTCTATTATTTTTGGCATTATTTTTTCTATTATTTTTGGCGTTATTTTTTCTATTATTTTTGGCATTATTTTTTCTATTATTTTTCTATTATTTTTCAGCATTATTTTTTCAACATTATTTAACAATTTACTTTTCCTATTGAGTGATGTCCGTACGCGTAACTTGTAACACCATCTTCAAGTAGGTATCTTTTATCATCGAAACAGCTGAGTGTAATTTTCTTCAGTTCGTAAGTTCCGATTTTATGCTTGATGCTTCTGATCGTGTTCATCTTATGTCTCATCCTACCTTTGGTCTTGATTACGTTCTTAAAGTTTTCGTGAGTGAGTTTGTTTCTGATCACGTACTTTTTCACACCTTTCGCTGTCATTCCACCTCCGCCGCTCTCTTTTACGTAGGAGTACATCTTTGACCTTAACCCTACGAATTCAATCACTGGTACTCCTTCAGCTTCGTCCTTAAACTTTCCAATTACCTTCTTATTGTGAGCTGAGTAATATGGAGAATCTTTCGGATAATCTGAGTTGTCCCAGCAGTCCTTCTCCTGACCTATCCTCTTGAAGTCCTCATACACGTCATCAGTCTTAATCTCGTACATTAGACTGTCAGTGTCTGTGAATAGAAGCTTCGACTTATTACCGTACTCCTTCTTGATTGTGTTGTAATGGAAGTCGTACATTAAAGTCTTGGATAAGTCTAATATACTCATTCCCACATAGCACGGTTTATTCAGAGTTAGAACTTCCTTCATTCTCTTTACCACAATTAAGTTCTCATTCATAATCCTATGCGATTGGAAGCACGGCGACGCTGTAAGTTTTAGGAGGTCATTTTTCGATGACACTAATTTTACATCAACTCTCTTCCTCAAATTTTCCATAGTCTTTCCGTAGATGGAATTGTTCATAAGTTTGAAGAAGTTTTTCTCGAACGCATTCTTAGCTACTGCCCGTTTTTGAGTATTAAAGTCAATATAGTTTTTCAGCCAAGTTGACTGCCTGAAGGAGACTGCTCTATGAACCTTTAGGAGTTTCATTCCGAGATCCATGTAGAGTTTCAAGTTACGGGCATGTAGGACGTAGTTCTTCCTGGGACCTAGTGAGTTCACCAGTTTTCTTACTCCTCCGATTGTAAGCTGGAATTTCTCAGCAATACTCTTCGCGTAGTCCGACAACATTGGCGCATCGATCTCCTTGCTCTCCGGGGCTAGAGGATAACCGTTGTGTAGGTCGTGAAGTTCTTCTGGATATTCCATGTCAACCTCAAGGACCATACTCCTTCCGCTGTCTCCAAGGTAATCATCTAGGTTTATTTTATCAACTTCCTCGACCCACTCGAACTCTCCATTTGGTAGAGGTTGAGACATTGCCCAGCCATATAAATTGTTGGCATCGAGGTACATAAGGAACTTGTTTTCAGCCTCTTCGTCATACGTTTCCATGTACTTATTGTTTGCTGTAGAGTGTCTGTGGGCAATATGACTTATCCCACCTCTCATTCCCTTCTCGAAGAACTGGAACATGTCCATATCGCTTACCAATTCTATTTCCTCTCCTGACTGTTTTAGGAATGCGTCCCAACTTAGACTTGGTGCTGATATGTAGTGAGCAGGGTCAAGCTTGTAGTTTTCCAGGCAGGTCCTCCTGAAATTCTCGAAAACATCTGCTAGAAGAAGAACGTCAGTCTCCAGGTAAAGATCGTGGTAGTCTCTCATTGTTTTCATCTTGAAGTGATCCCAGACTTTTAGAGCTCTCTGGTAATCTTCTTCTTTCACTTCAGACTCATATAGAGATGAGTAGAATTTGTCTTTACTTGGAAGTCCCTCAGTATCAAGTTTACTTATGTCATCCAGGTATTCATAAGGAAATATACCTTTTTGTCTCACAAGATCGAAGTCCTCACCTTGCCACCGCTGACCGACTATCTTGAAGTCTTCAGGTGAAAGGTTACTCACAAGTGCCTCCAGGGAAGAAGCCATGAATTGTATTGAGTCAATGAACACAAGACTTTTACCTAGTGAGAAGGAAATGTATTTTTCCATGTTATTTGGGACCACGTTGATGTTCATCTTAAACTTACCGATTTCCTGCATTATTAGATGGCTATCATAACCTCTTAGGTTGTGGAAGACCACTGGAACTTTCCATGTGATTCTATATTTTAGGTTGCACATATTATGGGCAGCTCCACGGTACAGTCCAGTTACGTGGTCGTGGTCTCTCACTCTGTCATCACCTAAGTCGTTGCCACATATGGAGCAGTTCCTTGTCATCCAGAACTCAGCTTCTTGCTCTGGTGTGATTTCCATCTTTTTCTTGAATATTTTATTTACCATCTCTCGGCACTTAATGGACTCCTTCAGTACGGTCTTCAAAAAGGCCACTGTGGCGTCTTCACCAACGTAGCTTATATATTCACCGGAGTACTGGTCATCGTAGTGGCACACTGTTTTAAGCCCAAAACTACAGGCCTTGTGGGTCTGGTATAGTTCTGTAGTACTCTTGTCCTCAGGGTCTCCAGAATCAAGTTTTCTCTCTTCTGGAACTAGTATGGACTCGAAATCGGCGTATATTACAAATGGTGCGGGCATTGAGTTCCTATGGTTTTTGAACTTTATTTTTGTACCCTCATTTGGGAGCTTTGTGGCTTGAGTTCCATTTACCTCAATACATGTTTCGCTATGTTTTTTCAGTGACTCCTCACTAACGCAACTATGGAGGCAGTGTAGGCAGAAGTGTTAATTGTTCGAGTTTCCGCTAACACTGAAGAGCATTCTGTTTACATCCTTTATTAGAACGTAGTGGTTACCACCGTCGTTGTCACCCAACAGCAGCAGCTCCATATGCTCGTCATATTTTGTTTTGGAGTTTCTAATTGGATAGAACTGCTTCTTACCCTTATAGCCAAACACTGATATGCTTATGGAGTTCTTCCTCTCAATTTTATCAATATCGCTTATTTTCACGGGGAAGTCTATTCCCTCATAGTCTAGGTTTTTCGCGAACTCTCTATCCTGCCGTGTTATGGTGGTTGCTCTTCTAGCCCTTGGTCTCACATGTCTCAGATGACTCCACATAAAACATTTATTGTCATTGTTTTGCATATTTATGAGGCCGCATTTTGGATTGCTGATGTCTGCGGGTAACTTCATATATGAACTACCCTTTAGAGGCTTATACATCGCAATATTAACGTAATGGCTCTCAATATTTAGTATGATCCAGTTTGAATCTAAGTTCTG